TGTTCGTTATATGCTAGAAGATATTGCATATATACATAAAAATGTTGCTTATAAAGAAGATTTTGAATTACTTGAAAAACGAGATGAAATATGGTCACAACATAAGACTAATGAAACTATTTCAGGTCCATTTCATAATTTACCTGTACTTCATTGGAATGATACAGATACTTTTGCTCAAACTTTAACAATAGATTTGTTTCAATAATTAAAAATAAAATTCTTTCTATTCTCATTTTTATAGGACAATTATTAGCAACAAAAATTTGATTTATACGGTAAATTAACATCATCCATTGTTGATCAAGATCTTTTACATAGTTATATTCTGATGAAAATAATCTAATGTATCGTTTAGCAAAAAAGATTTCAGATGTGTTAAAATCATTAAATAATTTACTTAAAAAAAAGTTCAACATCATTTTATTATGATCAATTGGAACCAACTATTACTGATTATTTTGTTTTTGAAGCATTTACAGTAGCACGTGATTATCATGATAAATTAATACCGAATAGAGAAGATTGTCAAGAATTGATAAAACTTGAACAAATTATGAAAGAACGACCAGGATTAGCTAATGATTTTAATAAAGACTTATTATTTAAACGTTTTACAGAAAGTAAATATTTGGCAAAACTTGTTGACAGACATAAATAATTTTTATGTCTTTTTTTAAAATAGAATTTTTTTCCAAATTAAATATTTAATATTATAATTTATATTGATAAAAAAACTATGTAATTGCTTTTTTTAATTATAATATTGTTCTTAACTTTCAAATATATATTTAGATTAAAACAAAAAATTAGATATAATAATATTTCGGTATTAATTCTTATTCAAATTTTGACCTTTATATATCTCATATGCCACGAATCATTTGTTTATTCATTTGATTCTTCTTTTTTTTTTGTTTAATTCTTTTGTTACGGTAACTATCTCTTCAGATATAACAATTAAAGTATAAATAAATTTCGTACAGCACGAATTTATAGTGGTCTGTTAATCTTGAAACTACACATTTGTGTCTTACAAGACTTTCAATGATTTTAATATTTTTTTCAGAACTATTTATAATATATTTTGACTTGACTGAATTTCTTTCTTGCTTCATACAAAATTAGTGCAAGCTAACGGAGATTATAGACTAAAATCATATTATAATAAAAGTAGCATTCATTGAAAAACTAGAAATTGTGCTATCAAAAAAGTTATAGAAGAAAAAGTTTGATAATCGAACTTTTTATGAAGTGCCGGTACGTATAGTAAATTTTATTTATATTTATCTTCAATGATTAATAGTTATTTTTGTAACTACTGATAAACTCAAAATAAGAATTTTTAATGTAAGGAAATAAGCAAAAATTGTTCATGATCAATATTTGAATTATTGTAGTTTTAAACAATTCCACGAGTTTCTGGTATTTTGATCAATTTAGCTAATTTGAAGGAAAAGATAATTGTCAAGATCTGAAATAAAATATGTCAAACATCAGATAAATATGCTAAAGACAAAAGAATACTTACAAAGAGTATACCGACTATAATAAGTGCAATGATAAAGATCATTATGACAGTCGCAGCAATGTCACCATTATTTGTTGCAGAGGTAAGAGAAATTGCTTTGGGAGTTCTAAGAAAAGCTATGGTAAGATCACCAATTGTTAGAATCACAGTTAACCAAGCGAACTGAAAGGCAACAAGAATTAATTTAATAAAATAAAAAAAACAAACTGAATCTACAATAAGAATGGCAAATCGAATATATTTAGTCACGACTATAATAAAAATGATAAAATAAATCGTTAAAATGGCACCTAAAATAGAAAATAAGATAAATAATCAAATTAAAGCAGCCAATTTACTGGTGATAATGGCACTTGCGGATGCATCTGTCGTGTTAATTTGAATATTTTCATACTGCAAGCTACTACGTGAATCGATAGAAGTAATTTGTTTAATAAGATGGATTACTGTGAAGACCTAGAATAAAAACATAGTGATCATTCAAGATTGAACAGTCATTCAGCATGATTTCGAATAGGAAATTATTCATACCAATAGAATTGAAAGAACAATTAAAAGTTTAAGTCTTACACTTTGTACTTCCGGATTTCTCTTGAAATCCTCAACAGTCGAAGGTCGCATTGTTGTTGTTTTCTATGTCACTAATTCATATCACATCTTGAATAAATTATAAGAAGTACTATTCAAGAATTTTAATCCATAATCAAAGATCTTTACCTATTACATTATGATAGAACAGACAAGAAAAATAAATCAGAAATAATTGATAAATAATAATAATTGAACAGAATTTATTTGTATACCCACATAAAAGATAGTGAAGAAAAAGAAAGAGATAAACAACTGACAAATCATTATTTCGTCGTCCACATTTTACACAAATCAATGTCAATCTATGGAAACTATCAAATATTCCTGTCTATGACACTTATATACATCAAACAATAAATATAAAAGGTCTTAACCTATGATAAATAATGTTTTACTACTCCAATAGTCATAAATAAACTGTAAAATTTGCAGCTTTAATCATAAGAAACTGTCAGAAATTAAGTATCCCTCTCTCAAAGGGTAATTGTTCCACTTCAAGCAGACTTACTTTAACCACATAAAATCATGAGATGTCTAATTCGAATTATAATATAAATGCACTTTTAGAAGTGCTTAATCATTTCGAAAATAACTAAGAAAATAAAATATACATGCGCCCATTTAGATAAATTTTTATAAAAGCTATAAATGATGAAGACTTTGCTGTAAAGTTAGGGAAAAATTTACGTAAGTAAAGTTAGCACCAGATTCGAGTTTTTACCGTCCGGATTCGCCCCTGGACTTGCGTTGATTTTGGTTCAACTTGATTTATATGCAGAATTTTTACGGCGAATCTGATGGTGTAAAGATCAAGGGGTCATCGAGCAAAAATCAACACTTGACCCCAAAAAACTGGTTTTTTCAAAAATGTTCTGGAAGTTTTTCCTGTCCGGATTCGCTATGTTGCTTGAGTTGGGTCTAAAATTGGTTGAGTTAGACTCAGCTCGAAATTCTGCATCGAATGATATCAATCTTATATGGGGTTATCGGCCAAAAAATTTTTCGACTGGATGAGGGTGAGGATGACCTCAGAGGGGTGGGATTGAGTGAAGTGAAAATTTTTTGCCCGATGACCCCATATAAAATTGATATCATTCGATACAGAATTTCGAGCTGAGCCTAACTCAACCAATTTTAGATCCAACGCAGGCAACATAGCGAATCCGGACAGGAAAAACTTCCAGAACATTTTTGAAAAAACCAGTCTTTGGGGTCAAGTGTTGATTTTTGCTCGATGACCCCTTGATCTTTACACCATCAGATTCGCCGTAAAATTCTGCATACAACTCAAGTTGAACCGAAATCAACTCAAGTCCAGGGGCGAATCCGGACAGTAAAAACTCGAATCTAGTGCTAACTTTACTTGCGTAAAAATTTTGCTTTTTTTGTCATTTATCATTTCTGATAACAGCTATAAATGATGAAGATTTTACTCTAAAGTCAGGCAAAAATTTTTACTTTTTTTGCCATTTATCATTTATTATAATAGCTATAAATGATGAAGACTTTACTGTGAAATTAGGCAAAAAGTTTTACTTTTTTGCCATTTACCATTTATCATTTATGATAAAAGCTATAAGTGATGCAGACTTTGCAGTAAATTCATCACCATTTATAACTTTTATCATAAATGATAAATGATAAATGGCAAAAAAAGTAAAAATTTTTGCCTAATTTTACAGTAAAATCTTCATCATTTATACCGTTTATCATTTATGATAAATGGCAAAAAAAGCAAAATTTTTGCCTAGGTTCAGAG